TGGATCCTTTTTTAGCTATCTTCGCTATTTGTTTTTCCTTTAATAATAGTAGTATCGTACAGTATCTTGAAAATACTTTATAGCTGCATTCCTTTTTGCTTTTTCTCTTTATTCCTATCTGCTATGTAATAGTAGTATAGTCATTTGTAGTTGCCGGAAATTAGTCAGTAGAATTGTATACCCTGCTGGTATAGTTATATGTCGTGTTGGTATCGTATGGTAGTTGTAATATTTTTAATTGGTTTAGTTGCATTTTAAGTGAATTCTATTTCTGAAATTATTTTATATGAACATGTTTTGCAGTGTTGGGATTTTCTTGTACCTATGGACTTAGATTATAAACCATAGGTTGATTGGGATACCAACTGCCATGTTATTCATCAATTGAAAGCGAATTTATCAAAGAGGCAACTTCGACTGTTTAAGAAAACATGCTTTGGCTATTTTTTGGATCTGCCACCAATTATTGTGCAGATTCGGGTTATGCACCATTTGCTTATTAGAGAAGTACATCATGAGGTGAAAAATGAGATGCGGTTTGTAGTGAATGATTCTAGGTTGCGCTTTGGCTTGGGTGAATTTGCACTTGTTACTGGGTTGTAATGTAAGGGTGATACAAGTATAGAGAGCATAGCAGAGAATAGGTTGATTTCAAAATATTTTGGGACTGCATCCGTGACATTTGCCCAATTAGCAGACTATTTTAAGAAGAAGAAATGGGAAACAGATGATGATGCGTTGAAGATAGCAGTTCTTTATTTTGTGAATAGCTTCTTACTTTCTCAACTCAAAACAAAGGTATTTCACGGTCTTACATTGACTTGGTTGAGTGCGGTGAGTTTAATAATTATCCCTGGGGTATAGATGTTTATAAAGCTACAATTGACTCGTGTTCCAACAAGTTTCAAGATAAGCCTTCTTTTTATAGACTAGGTGGCTTCCCGTTGGCTTTACAAACTTGGTTGTATGAATGCTGCCCAAGTTTGGATGGTCACTTTACTTTGTAGTCTTTATTTTATACATTTCTCTACTTTATTTACTTTGTAGTCTTTATTTTTACTATTTTACTCTTTTTTTATGTCTTAGGATATAATCTCTCTTCATTTAGTACTTAAACATAATTATGGTATTTGTAATCTTCAAGAACAATTAATATTAAGGGTAGAACAGGAAAAAAATAATTAATTTACTTTTAAACTTTCAAAATGACAAATAATTTGATACTGTTATAAATAGAATTGTATTTATGGTGAATGTCTATATTTAGAGAGATTCTAAAGTTCATTGCTTGGTGGCTAAGTCACCCTCTCCCTATAAATAGAGGGTTCTATTCTATTGTAATTCATCCAATATCAATAAGAATTCTCTCTTCCTACTTTTCTCTGCAATATTCTTCTTCTTCTTTTATTATTTTATAACAGAGACAAACTATTTTTTGAAACCACAATAGACAATTTATGACGGAGGATGTAGTGCCTTTCTTTCTTAAAGCTTTTTATATCGGCAATTTTTTTTGTCCGTTCATTTACTACTGTCTTTCTTTCGTACCTCCTATTTATTTTGGCAAACTTCTTACTTTTTGTTTTTTGTTTTTTTTGAATTCAAATTTGGATATCATACTTATTATTTTACCATGATATATATTTGCTCAATAAGCCATATATTAATCATTCACATCAAGTACACTGTATGTACAATATATATATATATATATATATATATATNCAGCCCACAACCGGGGTGTCACGGAGTATATGAGCCTCTAAATCAGAATACAGTCCACTACATTGTCTAGAGAAATAAACTGAAAAGACGAGAAATGATAAGAAGGAGAGTCAAAGCCTGCGAACGCCGTGCAGCTACCTCAATAGTCTCCAAATTCCGAAGCCTTGATCAACAACCGCCGTTGTGACCGGTATCGCCTGGATCTGCACACGAGGTGCAGGGAGTAACGTGGGTACACCAACTCAGTAAGTAACGAGTCCAAACTTTCGACTGAAGGGTAGTGACGAACTCAACCATTACAGATGACAATAGAAATAATTATGCAGAATTGTTTCAATTTAATAGGCAGTTCAAAACAGTAAAGTAGAGCAGATACGAACAATGTAAAGAATATCACTCTGCTACCTCTACATGCCAATGCACATGCTGTATGTGATGCACCACGCTGTCAGCCTCATGTGCTCACAATCTCAAATACTCAACCACTCGGTACTGTATATGGCTCATACGACCTAGGGAAGATCCATCTCGGAATATATATATACATCACTAACAACAGTCACTCAGTACCAAGGAAAAGGGCAATCCAGCCCGGTGGAGAAGATCCATCTCCAGGTATCAAGTACTTCGGACAAGATCCATGTCCAGGGAAGATCTATCCCTCAGTAATATCAATTGCATTCACTGGGGGTGTGTTATAGACTATGGAGGGCCTCCTACAGCCCAAGCGCTATCATAACATCAATATAACCACTGCGGCGTGCAGCCCGATCCCATAACTGTCACTTATAATCAGGCTCTCGGCCTCACTCAGTCATCAATCTCTCCAGTATCAACCAGGGGCTTACCATGTCATGAAAACTAACCCGAAACAATGATATGATATATCAATAAATAACCGAGACTAAGATATGATATAAGAATGCATAAACATGACTGAGTACGGAATATCAATAAAAGTAGTGAGATAACAGCAAGAAGCGACCA